TGTCCACCAGTACTCTCTAAGCTGACCTTGCTTAAATTTCACCTGTGAGGACAAAAGTTGTCATAACGTCAGGTCTGGTTTGTCATTTGAGATAAATAGATTTGATTTTGACACTTCTGCTTTTTGCATTATGACAGTGGTTTTTGTTAGTGGTGGCGTGTTAAGGAAAATATTGATGAATTGAAATTTGATGGAGATGCACTTGCATTGAAGTTTACTGAATATATTGATGGTTAGGCTCATAACAATAACTAAACTAGAAAAATCCAAAGATGAAATAAAGATCTGAACAAGAGGATATGGTAGTAGATTGTATTGAATGGGCAAACATGTGGCCGCATTTATATTACACATCCTAATGTTCATTGACCCCCAAAACCTAAATTTGTACTGGTATCAAGCTTCTCTGTGTCACCAGTGGATAATTCTGAACTCATTTTAAATATAAAAGTGTTTAGATCTTTAAGTCATAATGATGCCTCACTGCACTTTTTGAAATAATTTAAAACCCGGGCAGGTGACCCACAAATGTTTTTTGCTCATTTTCAAAGTTACCTGCCCTCATTCCGACATTATGAATATTGAAAAATCGCGAACAATAAGAGACAAATCGCATCTTGATTCAGTTGAAATAATGCCGAACAATCTCTTTAGAATCTACGAGTAGCTATTATAAAACTGAATATGTAAGTAGTCTTAATATTATCTGCCAGACAGTCGGGCAGGTGGAGGAAAATTTCATGCATCCCGACAGAAAAGTTACCAGCCACGGGCAGGGGGGCAGGCAGTTATTTTGGACACTGCCATGCTAAGATCTGCTGTTGGAATACCTGACTCCCCCTAATAAGCATCCCTGTTCAAGTCAGCACCAAACCTTCACAATCCACCTTGAATAAACAGGTGCTTGTTCTATGAAAATGTAACATTAAAATAACTGTCGGGTAGTTGAGGTTTTATTAAACTAATTAAAAATAATTTAGGTTGAGGTTTGTTCAAATAATGAAAACTGTAATTTGAGGTTTGTTAAAATAACTAAACATAATTAAATTCATCTATAAAGGAATTATTTGTTGACTATTAGTAGCAAATAAGGAATTTCTTTTCATATGAACACTTTGACAATATGAAACAACTAATTGTCATCTGTTGAGTGCATATTTAAGAGTTATCATGATGAGGGCAGTTAACAAGTTGCATATACAATTTTTTCAAGTAAACACATTATATTTCAAAGGGATTATTTGTCCCATATCGATAGAAACATTTAGAATTAATTGCCAAGTTGTGTACATTATTTCTTCAAATAAGAACATTGTCAGTATGAAGTGAATACTTGTCCCATATTAATGAAAACTTAAGAATTATAATGATTAATTAACAAATTGTGTCTAACATTTATTCAAGTACATTGTCAGTATAAAATGAATATTTGTTACATATTGATAGAAAAATTTACAATTACCAGAATAATTAACATATTTTTGTATATAAAATTTCTTTAAATATGCGCATTATCAACAACAAGGACCTAATATTTACAAACATTTGTTTGTGAAAGACAAACTATATAATAATTTGTTCAGAACAATATCTATCAGATCTCTCTCATGTATGAATTAGTCATGATCAGACGACACAGTGAGGCCGATTTTACATTATCATTTGGGACGAACAGCATAATTTGTTTCTTCTGTGAATTGATGAGAAACACAATAAGGGGAGATAACTCTGTTATGAATAGGCTACTGGGTCTATTCACTATTGAGCCCAGCATTGATTATCTGCAGGTGTGGATTCTTGTAATGTTGGGAGATAAAGCCGAAAAGGTAACTCAGTTCGCAGCCCTGAATATATTGGATTTGTTTTGTTGGGGACAATTTACGCATACGGTGAACCTGACTGCGGATGTATCTATATTGCTTTCATGTGCGTGTGATTGTCTGTTTATTCCAAGTTGAATTAACACCTTCGTTGCTTGTTACCTGGATTCATTGCCTTATATCTGTGAATAATTGAAAAGTTCATGCTCTCTGCATAAATGGAAATTAGTGATTATATTTTTGCTGATCAAAAAAGTGTTTCATTTAGCATGAGAACTGCAACATCTTTTTACACTGAAATATTCATAAAACCTTGTGTGAATAGAGATGAATGTTATGGAGTTTTTAGTTGCATTGTTTGTGGATTTTTTTACCAGGGCAATTGGTGGTCAAATTAAATATAACAGTGTATTTATTCATATGTTGTTGAGTTTTTTATAGTATTGTTGGTTTGGATGAAATACAGAGACCTGTGAAATATAAGACTTATAATTAATATAACAACAGTTTGCCACTAAAATGGCTATATTCCCCGCCCCTGTTGCAGAATTTATGACATAATTAAATCTAAACAAACCCTAACCTTTTTTAACCGAGGTGTAACTTGTCATGGAAATTGTATAAAAAAAAGAGTTTGGAAACTAAGTCCATCTTGTTGCCATGGAAACGTAAAAAATAAAGATTTCTACAATTTCTAAATAGCAAAGGGAACCAGTTCAGCATGTACTTGACAGACCTGCAAAGTTTCATGAAAAGATATTGAACGGTTTCTGAGTTATGCTCCAGAAATGAAACATGACGGACAGATGGACGGACGATGCCCGTTTCTATATCCCCCGCCAACTTTGTTCCAAGCCCTTCTTTTTTTCACAATTTCCATGACAAGTTTCACCTCGGTTAAAAAAGGTTAGGGTTTGTTTAGATTTAATTATGTCATAAATTCTGCAACAGGGGCTGGGGATATAGCCCTGTCAGTGGCAAACTCTTGTTGTTTTATTTTTAACCCTCATGGTGCCTGGCCGTCAGCTGGCTTTTCATACCATTCAGTGCCCAACTGTGATGGCGTCGCGGTTTAAAAAACGTATATGATGCCTGGCCGTCAGCTGGCTTTTCATACCATTCAGTGCCCCACTGTGATGACGTCACGGTTTAAAAAACGTATTTGTTGTATAAAAAGTGGTACAATGTTCTTATTTCTGCACACAGTGTAACCAAATTGTATACCGGGAACATTCAACTAGAGTTGATCGTCTCTCCAACAGTATCTAAATTAAGCAAATCCTATAGGTACGTGCACTTGCCAAGCCATCGGTGAAGGTGCTGGTGTACTAAGTCTGGTACTTTTTTACATTGATTGTAATTTTGAAGCACCCAAATGTGGCCCTCGTGATAAAAAACAACTTTGGGGTAATTGACATTGGACATTTGCAAAGGTCAAAATGTGAAAGATGGTTGAACAGCCCAAACAATCCTTACAATGACATCGCTCATTATTGGACATAATTATCATTTCATACTAATTAGACCGACCCCATGGTCTAGTGGTAGAGCGTCCGCCCGGAGAGCGGAAGGTCTGGGGTTCGATCCTCGGCTGCGTCATACCAAAAAACGTTAAAAGATGGTACTTGTTGTTACTCTGTCTTGCACTCGGCATTAAGGGGCTAAAACAAGGACTGGTCGGCTTGGAGTCAGTATACTGTGTCTGAGTGAGGTATTCATGTTAAACTGCGGCATGGTATCTCGGTGTGCTAGCACTATAAATCGGCATCAGTCGGGACTAGTACAAGCACACACACACACACACGTGCATGCACGTCGCTATATAAGTACCATAATCTTGGACGCGAAGTTAAACCCCATTTAACCTCACCTCTTACTAATTAACAAGATTAAACTGACATACTATCACTCAAGAGTTCACATACGTTCAGTCAAAATCGTTGAAACGTTTTCATCGACAGGAAATCAATTCATCAAACATATTTTCGATTACTTGTAACTTGGATGCCATGTGATACAGCATCGTTTCGTTGTGCAATCACGCAGACCACTTATTTATACCTCGGGTGATATGATGTGTATTATGTTTTTGTTTGTTTTTCTTCTATTGTTTTTAAAAAGATGTACCTGTTACATAAAATGTGCTTCTGCCCAGGTAGCAGAAAGCCTATGACATATAGCACAACTTATCAGTACATCTTAGTTTTTTGTACAGAAAATAACATTCTTCTCACTCACGCATTCACTCTAATAATACAAACAAAGTGCATATATCAAGCATGTATAAACCATTAAAGTTTATGTATATCATATTGCAGTGCAGGAAAGTACATGGTCTCAAATATTAACGTCTTAAGTACAAAACTAAAATGAAAATGAAAGCTGCTCTTCATTTTCCAAAAGTTGATGATACAGCATCCAACACCATAGAATTTCTGCTGACTACCTGTCTTGAAAGTAATATCTTTTTTAATGTTGCATCATGAAAAAAGCTTCCTTTTTATTAACATAAAAATAAGGTTTTGTATTTTGCATCTATAAATATAGAATTTTGCAATAAGTAAAAGTAAATCGAACACTTAATCTGTTTTTATGTTTGTTTCAACTAAAAAAAGTATCATCTGCACAAAATGTCCTATTATGAACTTATGATGTGTTGTTTGTGGTTTAAATCTAATTTAAATGAAGTTTAAAACCCATCATACATGGGTGTATACTTTCTTTCCCCGGCAGTTTATAAATAACGTTCTTAGTGTACCCTAAGACACTGGGGTCTTGGGTGAACCATGCCATTATGAATGTTACTGTGCCATAGCACTTTCAAACAAGGAATTCTGATTCCTCAGACATACACTGTTTTCATTACTAGAATTGGTTCCTTGTTTGATGCAAAGAAGAAAAGTTCTCAATATTTGGATATTTTCTCCATTTGTGAAACTTTTGTGATCTGTAAGCCTAGTAATTAGAAATGAGACCATTAGGAACATTAAATGATGTTTTTTGTTTATTTGTTGTTGAACGCCACACTCAGCAATATTCCAGCTATATGACGGCGGTCTGTAAAAAATCTCAAGTCTGGACCAGACAATCCAGTGATTGACATCATGAACATAATATATGAGTGAGTTGAAAGCTGAAATTAAGATAGGTAAAATGTAACCATGTGCCTATATTTTTCAGAATGTTTGGTGCCAAGTGCAATGGTTGTCTGCAGACAATACCAGCCAATGAGTTAGTGATGCGAGCGCTAGGATACGTTTATCACCTGCCCTGCTTTGTGTGTGTGGCCTGTGGGCACCAGTTACAGAAGGGTGACCAGTTTGTGGTCAAGGATGGACAGTTGTTTTGTAGGCTGGACTTCGAGAAGGAGTTCAGTATGATGCCGATGAGCCCCAAAAGTGAGTGTGAGTTGATTCTTATATTTTCTCTTTTTGAAAATTTTCATTTTTATTGACTGACAAAATATTGAATTGGTGTTTATGTGTGTCCTATCGAACATGACTAGACTGATCATACAACACAACTACAGATAACCTATTAATGTATAATTTTATAACAAACAGCCTTTGGAATTCATGCTAGTCTGCTAGCCCGCGACTATTAATTGTGCTGAGGACAAGTGAAAAGCTAATGATGGTAGCCCCATTTTAATGTATGCTTCAATTTTTCTACAAATTGGAACTGAACAAAATGTAGCAGAAAATGTCAACATAGTAAACACATTTGTCAGGTTGAAGCAGGACAAGCTTCAAACAGGACTAGTTGAAAAAAAGCCCCAAACTTCTGAGGCTGAACAAACATGAATGGAGCCTGTTTTACCCTGTGAAGGGAGCCTGTTTTACCCTGTGAATACAAAATTGTTAGTTAAAAATATTTTACAAGAACCTTTGCTACCTCCACTGAACTTTGTAAGCCATAATGAACTAATTATGGGATGGTCATTTCCTAAATTTACAGAAGATATATTGATTTTATCAAGAGTTAGCTGTAATGTTTTGTCTTTAATAAACATCACAGACTTCTTTGAGATAATCATGATAATGGAAAAATGATTTTGATATTTTTTTTCACCAGGTGACACAAGTGACTGTGGTTTTGATGACGACGGCCATGACACTCCCAACAAAGGACCAAAGCGGCCCCGTACAATTCTTACGACCAGTCAGAGACGGAAATTTAAACAGTCATTTGAAATTAATCCAAAGCCATGTCGGAAAGTAAGTAGAACCATCAGATGATTGGCTCTTACCTAGGCTTAAGCAATGAGCAGGATACACCGTGTCTGCAGAATTATTGCAGAAATATTAGTCTAATCTGATAGAAACGATTTTTTAAGTGAGAAATTAGATATCCTAATAACGATCCCAAAGGTGCAAGGAGTATCGTAGATGTTGCGTTGTCAGTTCTTATCAGTTTTGTATTCAATACATTCCTCTATCACTCATGTTTACATACGGTGTAGTCACTGGTTGTAATCAACGAATGAAGCCATGTCCTGGTTCCATTGAGAGAGAACAGAGCTGCAGATCAGCTGCGTATTTGCGTAAAATACCCCCATTATTTATTCAAAACCCATTTACTTTCAATTAACTTGCGTACAGAAATGCATGCATTAAATGGAAAACTCAATTGTTTGAAAACAGCACACATAAATACCCAATGAAGCTTTTTCAGCATGCATACAACGAAGCTAATTTCCGAGATGCAATTATGAGCTAATTTACTTTCCGAGTCAAGCCTATATTTAGAACCATCATATACATCTAAAACATTATTTCATTTTTTTCGATCTCAAAATGCTTACTCATTCTGGGAAAACCCAACAGAGTGATGAATAGATAAGTGAAAAAACATTGGTAACCCAAAGGAAAATGTAATAACCCAATTAAAATAGAAACCATCGAGTAAAAACTCAATTGCTCAAAAAGTTATCTGGAGCTCTGAGAGAAACTAGCGAGTGATCTGACCAATTAGTTTCAGCCTTGTGATGAACTACACCACACATTGCTGTGATATCAGGCAACAGTAGTGTAGATTCAAAATTTACACTGCAGCATTTATGACATATTTTTTCAACAGTCTGCGACAAATTGCAACTCCAGAACTAACCAGAGCCTGATTCCACAAAGCATTAACTTATTCTGGGGTGGTGGGGTAGCCTAGTTGTTAAAGCTCATAATGCTGAAAAATCAGGTTCATTTCCCCACTTGGTTGCAATGTGTCAAGCTCATTTCTGATGTCCCCCCTCCATGAATTTGCTGGAATATTGATTAATGCGGTATAAAACCGTACCCACTGATATTTATTCCCCAACAAATAAAATGATCACTGAAATGAAAAATCTAATTTATCGTAAAAATCACAAAGAGCTTTAGTTGAATTTTATAAATAATTCTGCCTCAGGCATTAAGTCTTTTTGTGTGGCTACGTTTCGATTCTATGATGATGTAACAGTTGTTGATATCCGCATTTTACCTTCACAACAACAATGGGGGAAAATGTCTGACGGCCTGAATACCGCACACTCTTTCATCTTCAGTGTTCAATTTATTGGTCCAAATTGCTGTTTAATATTCATAAATTCAGTGTGACCTCAAAGAAAAAAACCTACATGCATAAGCTTTCATAACAACGTCCCATCAGCTGAAGACCATTGATTTATGAGGTATTGTTGGTGAAGTACCTGATAAAAATTCCGTCGCTTGTTTACATGAAAAGAGATAGTACATGAACAACTTTCGCAAAGATATCGATCCGTACCCGTGACACTTTAGGTACAGGTGAACGTGCATGCACACAACTTGCACATATTGTAACCACCTTTACATTGGTTGTGACAGCTTGGCCGAGTGCACTGTTGCCTCAATGCAACCCCTACTGAGCATGTAAAATTCTTTTCACCCCAACATACACACACAATGGTTGACGCTTTTGCACTAGGAAATGTAACTTGCTGTTTTGCATGTCAAGGTGTTGCCACTTTTTTTCACTGCCTGGTAAGATTATATCATGGTAACAGTTATGAATTGATTTTTCGAAATTACTAATCTGTTTTTTTTGTGGTGGTTTTTGTTGTGGGGTTTATTTTGTTTGAAGACAAAGTGGTTTATTTAGACTTTAGACTTTAGGGGAAACAAGTTAAGGGATGAGAGTGATGGTTTTTGATGTGGGGTTTAGTTTGTTTGAAGACAAAGTGGTTTATTTATACCTTAGACTTTAGGGGAAACAAGTTAAGGGATGAGAGTGATGGTTTTTGTTGTGGGGTTTATTTTGTTGTAAATAACAGTATTGATCCTGGTTGAGTGAAGGGGAGTATTTAAAACAATCATATATGTTTTATCAGTGTGTGCATGTGTGTATGTGTATATCTCAGTTCTTACTCTCGCTAAAGATGCTTTTGACAAAATGTTTTGATATTTGCCATTCTCATCTCTTCATTACTAAAGGGATTTGACTGTATAGAAATAATTTCGAACACTTTGTTTTCCAGGTGAGGGAGTCTTTAGCTGCAGAGACAGGGCTGAGTGTCCGAGTTGTACAGGTGTGGTTCCAGAACCAGCGAGCGAAGGTAGGCACACTCGAGCAAGACACTGAGTGAGTGAGTGAGTGAGTTGGGTTTAATGCTGCTTTGAACAGTATTGCAGCTTGATGTTTACAACTTTTGTGTCTGTTTGTTGTTATGTTGTTTAACAGCAATATTTCAGCTTTATGACAACGGCCTGTAAATATTCGAGTCTGGACCAGACAATCCAGTGATGGATATTGTCACCAAATCTCCGAGTCTGAGCATCCGAACTGGGATTGGAACCCAGGATCCTAGGTTTCTGTTATGCCTAAGAGCTGTAACATACAGCACAGCGAATGGCAGCATCAAGGAAGTGTAATTGCTGCAACAAGGAAGCTATAATTTAGTGTCAAACCATTGAAGAGAACTGGGAATTTTTCTAGGTTCTTGTTATAAAAAAACATTTAAATTTTTTTTTTATACACTGTGAATGCTAAATACAGTCCATGGTTAATGAGATTATGTTTCTTTTCAGGTCAAGAAAATTGCAAGAAAACAGAATATGGAGAATAATAACAACACTGGGGATGGGAAAAAATCACAAAAATCACAAAAAAGGAAAAAATCGGATGATGATAGTGATTCCTCAGGTGATTATTCCGGTACACACAATTTACACGTTATTCCTTCTTACTTAATGTATAGATATATAACTATATATATACATGTATATCACTTTTAGCAAGGGTCCTGCCATATCAGAGAGTGGGACAATATAAAGGTGCTTCACGCATTATGCTAGGATTAGACACCCTAGCATAGATTCAGCATGTATCCAAATAGTCGACAGCTTATTTTTGACTTGTAGATTCTGTATCGTAACTAGGTTAGTGTTTGTTTGTTTGTTGTTTAATGCCGCACTCAGCAGTGTTCCAGCTATATGACGGCGGTCTGTAAATAATCAAGTCTGGACCAGACATTCCAGTGATTGATATCATGAGCATCAATTTAAGCATCAACCAAGTCAGCGAGCCTGACCACTCGATCCCGTTAGTCGCCTTTTACAACAAGCATAGGCATCAGTGTTACGGCAAGCATGGGTTGCTGAAGACCTATTCCAACCTGGATCTTCACTGGTCAGTTGGTTAGTGGGACAACCTGTATACCTTGCTGATTTATTGGATTAGCAGACTTGTACTAGTGTCTTTTCCTGATCTGTACCATGTGGGGAGTGAACGATCTTCAGCATGATGAGAGAACACTTTAACCACTAGGCTACCCTTACTCTCAATATATACAAAACCTGGAGATGTTTACAAACAATATTATTTATTCAACTATTGATTTAAGTTTCTAAATCTGGACCAACTTTTTGTAGTTGATTTGTAATTGTAAAAAAATATCACAGATTCTGTTTTGAATTCTGGATGATCTATGAATGAAGGATCTAATATTGGTTTTTATCTCCGTAGATGGAGGACTGAACCCGGACAGTGATGAGAGTGTCTTAACAAGTGAGTATATATACCATCTTAGGGACTAATAATGGTCTGTCCATAAGTTGTATATTCCCCAGGGAGCTGAGAATGAAATTCGAGTTCACACTGATTCGTTGACCAGGGTGGTAATAATGTTGCACCATGACCATTCACATGGAGAAAATGGAACTCGACTCATGATATATGGACCTATAAATAAAACTATTTAGAATAGTACCATGACATTCCAGAATCCATAATTCTGATTGTAGCAAAACATTTTTGGACATAAACTCTACAGGTCGAACATCAAAATGCCATTTTTTAAACAGAACCTTAGAATCATGTTGCTACATCAATATACGTACATAACACATAGAGAATCTCACCCAAGTGTCTTTTGATATCAAATACAGTGAACTATGGTTATAACGAACTCAAAGGGACTACTAATGTTAGTTCGTTATAACCGTAGTTCGTTATAAGCATATATACAGCATAACTACAGTAAATAGTTGGGACCAAAAATGTAAGTTCGTTATATCTGTCAGTTCGTTATAAGCGTGTTCGTTATAACCGTAGTTTACTGTATATCAACATGAGTTGATAAAGTTTAAAACTCTGAGGCTTGTGTGGTTTGCCAACGCATTTTAAACTTTTATCGAGTCATGTTGATATACGTGAATTCGATATAAAAAGACACAAGGGGGACATTCTATTTATCATCCAAAGTGATGCTTACAACTTTTTCAGTTTATAAATAGAGAATCTCACCCGAGTGTCTTTTGATATCAAATATATCAACACGAGTTGATAAAAAGGGAAAAATTCCGAGGCTTGCCGAGGATTTTTGCCACTTTTATCAACGAGTGTTGATATATTTGATATCAAAAGACACGAGGGTGAGATTTTATTTATCATCCAACATCATTCTTTCAACTTTTTTAATTTGTAGACAGTAATTAGCAGTGTCTTCAGTGTAAAAAGTACTGCAAACAGCTTCAGTAGCAGAGCCATTAGTGATGTCATTTGATTGTGACGTCATGGTAACCAGTGACATCACAATGGTCTGCAAAGCATTGTGATGTAATTTCATTGCAGCGATATCTACAGTGTAGATATCGCTTGAACTCATCCAAGCGATATCTCCTGTGGGAGCCAGTTTTGGATGATAAACAGTAATAACCAGTGTTTTGAGTGTAGAAATACAGCTAACCAGCTTCAGTGGCAGAGAGATTAGTGATGTCATTTCATTGTGATGTCATACTGTGCTTGTTTTGACGCCTATGGGCATACCAAGGGAAAGTAGTTCCCCAGTATTGTGCTTGTTTTGACGAGCGTTGAACATATATTGTCTTGTTTCAGATTTACCGCCGTTGTCTGAGAGTCAGCAGTTTCCCGGTCAGAGTCACCCCTATGACCACCAACCCCATCAAGGTATGATCTGCAGTAAGTGATTATAGCCATGTATAGATCTTCAATTTTAAGAGCAGATTTCAACAGAAAATTGGTTTATATGTATGGGTTGATAAGTTACAAAATATCACATTTATTCACCAAAACTGTCAATCAAAGGGCACTCCCAACATTGGTTTGGCTAAGAATAGATTTATCAGAATTGAATATGAAAAAAATCCATTGCTGTACAATCTCTAAATAATGCAAACAAATACAACTAGGAACATGTCCTCGCCATTTGGGGAACGAGGATGCTATTATACAAAACAAATTTAGCGCTACGACTGTAGTAAGCCTATGTTAAGTATGGGAGTCATGATCACCTTAGCGCTAAGATTGCCTTGTACAAGAGCTTCCTAGTTACCAGGATTTATGCAGTGTGACCATGTTTTTTACGTTTATATTGCCATAAACGCAAACAAAATTGAAGTCAATTCTTAAATAATTTAACTGATCACTTATTTTTGCTGTTGAGTATATATTTCTTGTGTTGGTTTCAGGCAGCATGTTCACAGTGCAAGGTCTGCCCGAGAGCATGTACCCAGAAACACCAATGCCATTGGAGGATGGTGTCGAAGCTATTGATCAAATGCTGATGAACGACAGCACAGGCCATCCCCATATCTCAGCATCAGGACCCCTTATCAACCCTATAGACAAACTGTACTCCATGCAGAGCTCATACTTCAGTGCTGAGTAGAGGAACCATCCGAGTGTGTGTGTGTTGTGCTGGGGAATGTGTCAAAGACTTCGGCTTGTTCGGCACAGGGCTTGTGTCAAAACTAGATTGTGTCAAAAACTTCATGGAATTGCACGGAGAAGCCGTGGGATGGGTCGAGCATGGCTTCATGTTATAATCACTGTACAGATTTCAATGTCTACATGACATTGCTGTATAAATATATAATTTATTTATTATTGTGAATATAATATTATTGGATTACCAAAGATCTATGACATTCCATGTGCATTTTATCAAAATACGGAACCGAACATGGTAGTAAGACTGTAAAATATCATAGTGCGGGCGGAGGAATCTATTTAGTTCTCCATTATGGTAAATGCTAATTCAAGGATGTCTAAAAATTAATGGTCTTTGCCAATATACATTTTTAACAATGAAGTTAAAACATATAGACATGTTTGAACTATATTTGTGAAAATATTAGATTCCAGTTGATGATAATAATACCAAGATGTTAAAGAGATCAACGATTCAACTGGATCTTGTTAATATCATTAACACCTAGTCATTTAGTCTGTCAGCAATGAAATTTATGTATGCTAGATCTTCAAGTAGAGTTCTGTTGCTGATTAATGTAATAGATACACATTCAAAACACAATTTGGCGAATGATGAATTAAATTACGTTGGGCTGCAATAAATGAATATTCGATTTTCATCCAAGCTTTTCAAACATGTGAAGGGGAGATATTTCAATATTTTAGAATTTTAGTTATTTAAGCAAACTATTTAAGGCTTTTGATTCACATTAAAATATGAAAGTTCCGTATGACTATGTATACGATGTTATTCCTCGATTAAAGAAAGACGTGAACACATGTACACACAGCCACATATTTTTGAATATACACACAGCAACGTTTTTTTGATGGGGGTACCAAGGACAATAAAATTATGTGAGGTGGGTAGTGTTTGGTAGTGAGGCTGGTGTGAAAATCAAGTAATTTATTATGGTCTTAAGTTAATGTTTTGACAAGCGGTTCATGGACGATACAGTCATAAACAACTATATGAGATAGCCCCGCTTGAGCACCTGTTCCAAAATATGTACGCCCACCTGAATTTCATTACTGAAAAGAATCTTCACCGTTCTCTGAAAATATTCTTCTGAACACGTCTTCTTCAAAATAACTTGTATGTGCTTGTTATTGCATTTCAGAAAAAAGTTTTGTTGAACAGAAGAAACAATAATTGCAACCAGCCAATGTGTTTTTTATATACATTGCTATAGAATTTGAAAGTAGAAACAGCCCAGTCTTATTCTGTTTATGTTTTATGAAATGTCTGTGCCAAAATTTCGAAAATAATAAGATGGGTTAGATTGTCACTGGTGGAGTTTAGCAATTTTAGTTCCAACACATTTGCTGAATACACCTTCCTTGACAAAAGAGGATTTTCATTCCATAAGGTGAAAATAATGCATTCAACCTAATTGTCAGTGAAAATGACCTTTTTTCCCATCATAGCACTGTTAAAAGACTGGGTACTGTTTTTCTTCTTTTAAGTTTAACAGACACTGACTGGTGGACTGGTTAATCTTGTTAGGCAAATCAAGCAGCCATATTGTTTTGAAGAAGAAAGTGACGTTGGTATCTTTTGCATCTCTTAATGTTTTGTCAGCAGTTTGGAATGTGGGTTCTTATTACGTTTCTATAATCACTAGGCAGTCATCTCCTTATGTAGAGTAGTCAACATATGGTTTTAACTTATCTATATGGATGAAGAACACTAAAAGGAAACCGTTGACCGACACCCATAGTAACATGTGACTTAAATACTACATCAATCTCATTCAAATTTGATCTTAGTTCTCGTTACCGCCAAACAAAGATCTGAGGACATCCCATTATGGGTCACGTCAAAAACATTTCATCGGACCAGTCAGAGCGTCACTTACAAATCAGGAAAGTGACAATCCGAATCTTGCAACCTTTAAACGTTCAACACGGGGTATTCCGAAGGATATTTAAAGGTTTTACGATTGAATCCGTAAAAAACTTCATTTATCTGAACGGAAGAGACTTTGCATAGCCCTTGGAAGTACTGCCCTACAATCTCGGCACTCTTTTAGACATTCCAGTATGTTCTTTTGTTCAGTTTTCAAATTTTGATTTCGAGAACTTTGTTAAATTTCTTTTTCCAAGCATAGTTGCCAGTTTGAAACGTGCGATAGAGCTCGAGAAAGCTGCTGTCTGATTGGCTTATGTTGACTTCTTGTTAGTCATTGGTTGGTCAAAGTTGGTGAAAGGTGATTCCTCCATGACCCGTAATGGGATGTCCTCAGATCTTTGTTTAGTGGTAATATTTTTTTAAGTGAGATTAATACTACATGGAATTTACTTTCTGCACAATACACCAGTGGTATAACTACCAGTAGGCCTTATGTCGGGAAAGACATGGGTGACATTGAAACTAGCACAATGTTATAAGCCTCAATCTGGGATTAAGCAGAACCTGAAATGAGCGCTTGATGAACAGGCTTTTGCAACTGGCTGTCCTAACATATTTGATTTAAATATCTCAGTTTTATGATGTATACCATTAAAAAAAGTTAAGGACCAACCGATTCTTTCATATTACTATAGCTAATCTGTCATGACAGATTACCTATAGTATCCCTGTTTCATGGGTTTTCGAACGCTTAAGAAACATTCATAGTTTTCTCTCACAGCACATGAATAACGGTAAAACATCTCATTCTCTTTTAAAAGACAACTTTCTCTTAAAAACAAGCCATCACCTAAATATTTACAATGTCTGTGTGATGCTTCACCCCCAGTTATAGTGTGAGTAATCGTGATAAACATGGATGTGCAAAAAAGTATGATGTCAGAAAACCTATGATCCAACAATAATATGAAAGAATCATGACAGATTAATTGTAGTATGAAAAAATCCATCTTCCCGAGGAAAGAGAGTTAACTGACTTAAAAAGTCCAGTTTCCACCCTTGCCGAACTAGGCTGGAATTACTGGGCTCGATCGTAGCGCCACCAGTGGCTATTACCAGTTATGTCCCTTCTAAGCCTCTTTTATGGACCAATCAGATTCCAACTCTCGTATCACTTGCGTTTGCTTCGCACAAAATGGTGGCGCCCGGTCAGGACGATCTGATCGATAGTCAAGATCTATATTGTGATATAACAGGTCTTACATTGCGAAATGCATCAAATCACGTGAGCACCTTGATTAAAAACATAAAAAGATTTGGAAAATATCTGCTGACAAGTTGGCGGTGGACATGCTTTGCAAATCCTGCAATTGACCGAACTCTGCACGACAGTTTACGAACTGGATTTCGATTTCGGTGCGCGATTTTGATTGGACTATGCATAGACTCGTTGGTCCAGTCAAAATGTAACTCCATAATACCAGCCTAGTTCGGAAAGGGTGGAAACTGGACTTTTATAGTCAGTTAACTCACTTGCCTCGGGATGATGGAAAGAATCGTGTGGTCCTTAACCTTTTTGAGTAGTATATATCAGTGAATAATAACTCTGACTAAGAAGAAACATTTTACTGATAACTTTACCTCGATGTGAGCTGAACCAAGGCATCAATGAGACTGAGGCATCTCACACCAGCTTTGTGCTCTCGTAGTGCCTGAGAGATTGAATATAGCATTGACATGACATTCCAAATCTTTACCAATTATTCCCTTTTACAGATAGTGCTATGATTCTGATTACAAACCCTTGTGCTTTGCATTTTACCAGTAGGTTGTGAATTTGTTGATATGTTTGTATGTTAATAGTGCAATATATGGCAGAGAAGAATGTACATAGTTCGTGTTGTAGTGTGTGCATGTTTCTTCCTGTTTGTCTTGGGTTCCTGGTAGGAGGATTTCAGTAGTAAACTTTACCATGCTGGTTGGAAAGTACGGGCACAATTTCTCCATCATTACATTAAGCTGTTTTCAATTCTCTGTACTTCGCCTTAATTCTTTCCTTTTTTAGAAGATACTCTAGCATGTCTCAGGTTGTGTTGACCCATAACAGTGCTCAAGAACAACACAATTTGAGAGTTATGTCCTTCAGCTCTGCCAGAATCCACTGATTGTGGTTTGAATACTAAATTTGTGTTTATTATGATCTTTGGTATGTGAGAACCATGCCTTGCTGTTTGTGTTCACCATTGTCTTAAAGGTCCACGAGCTGCCTCACTTCCAGTTGTGGACCTGTGAAGATCCGGGGTAGAATAGGTCTTCAGCAACCCATGCTTGTCGTAAAAGGCGACTAACGGGATCGGGTGGTCAGGCTCGCTGACTTGGTTGATACATGTCATCGATCCCAATTGCGTGGATTGATGCTCATGTTATCAATCACTGGATTGTCTGGTCCAGACTCGATTATTTACAGACCGCCGTCATATAGCTGGAATAATGCTGAGTGCGGCGTTAAAAAACAAACAAACAAACAAAACTTCCAGTTGTGGCAGAAATACTGTTTCAGCAGCATTATACCAAACTCACGTGATTCAGCAGATAACAGGTGTTGAAATATCAAAACTGCGAACTTGTCCAGAGACAAACATGCTTGTCCAGATTATTGACCCACTGTTTTATATCACAAAAACCGGTCTCTTACTCAAATTTTTTAATTTGACTTCAATTAAAGGTCTCCTATATTTTAAGGTCATCCACGACCAACTGAAGCTGATTTTATTTGGAGACTGGTTAAATTTTGTTTAATGAAAAGGGTAAGTTGGGCATTGATTTTTTATACCCCCGGATATAATAAACAAGATTTGATTGTAATTGATGCCAAATTGAAAAGGGTAGGTTGGGCATTGATTTTTGATACCCCTGGATATGATAAACAAGATTTGATAGTAATTGATGCCAAATTTTTATGGAAGATGGGCTTCTTTATTACAATTGTTGTAATGTTATGTGTCGATTTGAAAAGTAGTGTTTAAATCTTTAGTGACATGTCACTTCAGTTGAAATAGAGAAGTCAATCAATGCTAGTGTGGGCCTTCTGCGTGACTAGCGAATGCTTTAACCACTAGGCTACCCCACCACTCCTTATCTCAAATGAGAACATTCCAGATCACTAGATGCAGAGATCAGTATTGAGTAGATGAGAAGAACATCATAAACTACATACAGAATTGTGTCCATACTTCACGCCAGCATTGGTTCTAGTTTTATCATAAATGCATCATACAGCATCTTGTCCACATGTTTGTTGTAAATATCCTGTAAAGTATTGAACTACATTTTCTTATGTCGTTCCCAAGTTGGAACCTCTGTCAGCATTGATATCTCGTCGAATGTTTCAGTAGGTTGTGAAAAAAATGGTTGTGATTTCACAATAAACCCACGAAGAAATCTCATCAATTAAACCCATCTACCAGCTGCTGCTTAAGTTAAGTTGCAAAGAGGGTTCAAGATTGTACATTTTCTCCGACACCACATTCTCTGGAGATCCTTCCAGAACATATATTTATTGTATTGTTACAGGTCTATGATCTTGTTTATTTGTTACTGTTTGTATACATAGTGTTTTATTTATTTCTTTGGCAAATATTGGATAGATCAGGAAATGGGTATGATGGATAATGTCAATTTGATCAGTGAAGATTCACGTCTTTGCAGCTACAGGTCTGTCAACTGAATACTGTGAAACCTTGTTAATCCGGACACCTGAAGTTACAAATAATCTTTTCAGAATGTCAATGTATATTTAATGCAGCATTACCTGCATCTGTGATTCGGAAACCATTAATTTGGACAATTGGAACGTTACTGTCCAGTTTAACAAGGTTTCGTTGTATTCAAGTTCAGTAAACCTTCAGTAACTCATTGGATGAAGCCTGAAGGATGTGGCCAGGAATACACAGGTCTGTCATTATGACTGATGTTAATCTGTATTCATTGTCCAAAGATGTCTGTTAAAAGTGACGTTATCTTAAATGTCTAAAAGTATTTCATAGAATGTGTAGAATGCACACTTGAAAATAATGCGCACCCCCAATTTTGGGGTACAAGTTGTGGGAACAATTGCTATTAATGAGTTTTCAAAAACTGTATCATATGCCAGTACTTCAGGAATGAGGCGACTAATGGGATCGGGTGGTCAGGCCTGCTAACTTGGTTGATGCATGTCATCATATCCCAATTGCGTGGATCGATGTTCATGTTAATCACTGGATTGTCTGGTCCAGACTCGATTATTTGCAGACCGCTGTCATATAGCTGGAATATTGCTGAGGGCGGCATTAAACAACAATCAAGTACTTCAGATAACAAACTTGGTCAAGGAAAGTGTGTATTTTGCGATAAAACATTACTAGACATGAAGGGTTTCAAATTCTATTGTACATCCTGTTACGCCAACCAGGCTTTACATATGCATCCTTCATGCCCAATATTACTGAACGTTAATGTTGTGGCATAAACAATTCACTTCACTTTTGACGTATGGATTTTTATTTTAATGAACAGATCCCTAGGTTCTTTGGGAGGGAGAAGTTGTTAGGGTGCGTAATATAAAATTTTGTGGTGTATAAATTTTTCTGAGGGGAATTTTCACTGACAGTTGTATGTAATTTTTACCCCTGCATTGGTTCGATCTCGATTCTTCTGGGCTACTGTCAATGAAATCTGATGGAGGCTACAACAGACATTTTGTTGATAAAAAAGTGGATTGACAAATGTCGATTTATTAATCATCAGTTTGAAAAACAGAATATTCTTAACACGGACTTTAAAAGTAGTGTTGCACAAAGATCCTTTGATGATTCTGTAACTTGTCATTCAATTTTAACAACCTGTTACGGAGGTATGATGTTTAAGCTGTTGTGATGATCTGTTTGAAGATTTCATTCCACTCCACCGTGTATGTAGTTGTCCGGGAATGGCACTTCCTGCTAACTACCGAGATACCTGACATTGTTTAATCTGTTGTGATGATCTGTCGTACTCATCAGTTCCTAAATGTCATCTTGGTTATAAATGAATGAATAAAACCTCATTTCAGTTAATTCTTGTCTTTTTTATGTAATTACAGAGAAATATGGAAGCTGTGATAACAGTAACTATGTGTTTGTTTAGTGCTGCAGTCGGGAGTGTGTGTTATGTGTGGGGTATAATTGTGCGTTCAAGATTATTGAACTGAGGTGAGGTGACATTGGGTTTAACGTCACCTCCAAGATTATTGCACTTATATAGAGACGTGCTTGCGTGCATGCATGTACTAGTCTGGACTGATGCCGATTTATAGTGCTAGCCCACTGAGATACCATGCCGCAGTTTAAAATGAATACCCCACTCAGACACAGTATACTGACTGAGCCGAACAGTCCTTGTTTTAGCCCCTTAATGCTGAGCACCAGACAGGGTAACAACAAGTACCATCCTTCAAAGTTTTCGGTATGACGCGGCTGGGGATCGAACCCTGGACCTTCCGCTCTCAGGGCAGACCCTCTACCACTAGGCTACGGAGGCAGCCTTATTGCACTGATGTGCATTCACGTGTGTGTGTTGCTGCTTGTACTAGTCAGGAAGAATGACGGTTTTATAGTCCTAGCCCAAGGAGACGCCACGCCACAGTTTATAATGCATACCCAACTCAGACACAGTATTGGGAGGTGGGGTAGCCTAGTGGTTAAAGCGTTCTCGCGTCACGAAGAAAACCCGGTTTCGATTCCCGACATGGGTACAATGTGAGAAGCCCATTTCTGGTGTCCCCATCCGTGATACTGCTGGAATATTGCTAAAAGCGGCATAAAATCAAACTCACTCACACTCAGACGAAGTATACTGATTCTGAGGTGACCGCCAGGCAGGGTAACAGCAAATACCATCTTTTAACGTCTTTGACTTAGATGTGGCTGGGCACAAACACTCAGTCCACTTGTCCGCAGTGATTGACTCCTGTACAGGATTTGACAAGAGTGACGGTTAAGCACAGGGACTCCTTCACATCAATATCCCGCTATTGACACGTGTAACAAATTTGTCATTGAGAGTTCATACATTACAAATTATTTCGGGGAACATTTGACCACCGACCTGCACTTCGGACAGACACTCAATCCACTCGACCATGGAGAGGGATGTACAGAATCTGACTTGGCTTGTACACTAGAATGATGGTTGAAGGGTGTTAAAAAAAGTTACCCCTAAGTGCATAAAATTCTGTATATCCTGCTGTTGACACATGTAACAAATTTATCACTGGGAGTTCACACATTACAAATTATTATTTTGGTGAAATATTTGTGTCTAAAAGTTAGATCTAACTTGTGACCACCACCAGTCTCTGAGTACAGTAACTTGAGTGAGTGAGTTGGGTTTAACGCCGCTTTTAACAGTATTCCAGTTATATCACAGCGTGTCAGCTTAATGTGGGAGGAAAGCCCCAAGTGATGCAGGTCTTAGACGTTTACCACTTTGGTGAAACCCACAACACGGGTACGGTGCTGACAAACCTAGAAACATAATTGAGGTGAACAGGGATTAGAAACCACAATCATAGGTTTCTGGCGTATCCAAGGGACGCAACACTGCACAGAGAATCGCGGCGCCTTAGACAACTGGGCCACCCGTGCCCCCCACAGTAGCTTGAAGTCAACAGGGTTGATTGTGATGTGAGAGGCGACTTAATGTATCGGGGAGACTCAGTGAATTGTTTAATGGAATATCAACGTATCTTGATGTCCTGCATTGACTGGTCAGAAGCAGTGATGTTGTGATTCCTCAGTAGTCCAGGGAATTAATCGAACAGTGAGTGAGTGAGTATGGTTTTATGATGCTTTTAGCAATATTCAAACAATAGCACGGCGGGTACACCAGAATTTGGCTTCACACATTGTACCCATGTCGGGAATCAAACCCGGGTCTTCGGCTTGACGAGCGAACGCTTTAACCACTAGGCTACCCGACCGCCCCTTAAACGAACAGACAGCCATGGAAGCTCAAAAAGCACAAAACAAGTGAAATATTTCTTCATAAGCATTTATTACGTAGCAACATTGTATCACATCAAGTCTGAGTTCACATAAATAATTAAGTGTTTGTCGTTAACTACTAATATTCTTATGCAATGACATAACTTATCAAAATATTTCTTTAAAAAAAAAAAATTAATTTGGGACTTTGGAGAGTTTTCAAAGTGTTCTCATTTTGTTTTTATTTTAAAAGTTAATTTAAAAATAGATCAGTTTGTTTTCTAGATTGACAGACAAACCATGTATATCTTTCACAAAATTACCAAATACAAAAATGCTGTTGATTGGGTCTTGTTTAAAAGTTGCATTTCCATGTTTTTGTTTTAGAAAATTAATCTCGAATTTATGGCCAAGAAAATGTGAATAAAGGGATTTAAACTGATCTATCCTTAATAAAAACAACGGCAAAAAACGACAGACGATTAAGCACAAGGAGCAATACAGGTGACTGTTGTGGTACTGTAAGCACGGTCATATGATGGAGTAGATCATTCACATTGATACAAGGCCACATTTTTTTATTATTCGGTTACGGAATAGACTGATGAAAGCCGAAAGCGACATTCAAAAAAAAAGAATAAAATAGTTTTAATTGGTTTTATAGACTGCTCTATCAATTAGTACTATAAAAATAAAATGATGCAACTACAAAAATGTAACCAAAAGTTACTTTTCAACCAATACTTATCAAATGCTTTGTTTATAGTCTCAGGTAGGGCGTACTGGCAAAACATTTATATTGCGATACATGTATCAGTATTCGTATTGTGATATATTGAGAGCTAGAGTGTTTGATAGTGAATGACACTGATGGTACCTACAGATCCTATTTTCTTCAAGCTAAAGTAAATATCACAATGCCAAAGTCAGCATTGTCAGTCGCCGCCATTTTGTAGTCATGGATGAGGGGAGATAACAAAGTGGGGAAAAAATCACTTTGCATTTCCGCCGTTATGTCAGTCAGTTTCGAAGGGAAACATAATTTTTGAATAAATTTCTGTGTAGATTTTAGGGTCCAACAATAACCAAATTTGTAACATTTCTTTTTTTACCCAATATACCAGGACACAGTAAAGATATAGCAATACGTATTGTTTGAAAAGTGCATTGCACTATTTTCTGATAATATAGAGCAGTCTTAGTCTCAGGTCACTGTAACAAATCTTCTGTGACGCATGTCATATATGTTTAACCTACTGTAAATACACTGAAAATCTTGCACTTTAACGGATGAGCATTTATTTTTTCCTGTTTAACAGTCACCAATTTTTTAATTTTCGATCTACTCAAGCTTAATGATTTACTCAAATTCGTAAACGTAACATACAAAAAATTGTGGCCTGGGAAGAACTATCACCATTGTGCAGTGGGATTATGAAGACGGACCAACAATGCCCTTCAGAGAATGCTTGACAAGATTTCTCACATACCACTAGATCATGACAGTTCCCTAAGTAATTTGCTCAGTAACTCCAATTTTGTCCATTAAATTCTTATGAAAATTTATGAAACATCAAATTTAAACATGTGTCAAGCAAATTCACTTCAGTAAAAATCCATCCATGAAGTGTGAAAACATTCAAAATGTTGAAAAGTGAATAATTGTCCCAAACTTCCACAGAAAGCATGATAAATATTGGAAAACATTTTATCATTTAATTTAGATCAACAAATCACTCAAAGTATATCACCTCAAACTTACTTATCATGAAGACTAAAACAGTGTTGAGTCTGGAATATGAAGTAGAACACAGGTGCACTCAAACATGTATTGCTGGCAAAGTGGACCAGAAGCATTAACTTGGAGGAAACATCTCTGAAGGTGACAATAGAGAAAAAAGCTTGCTGACATCACAGTGAATGACACGCAGCAGCAGCAGCAGCAGGAGCTACAACAGCGCCACAGGCTGCATCGGTGACAACTTCAGCGACTGGGTTCAAGGTAGGGCAGCCAGGAGCTCCTTCTGAAATTCCTCTGGGTTAGGGACCTCTTCAAGCATCCCTGCACAAAAACAGCATCAGTGAGTAGATGGAACATGCAGTGAAGTGAGTGAGTGAGTGAGTGAGTGAGTGAGTGAGTGAGTGAGAGAGAGTATGGTTTTACGCCGCTTTTAGCAATATTCCAGCAATATCACAGCGGGGGACACCAGAAATGGGCTTCACACATTGTACCCATGTCGGGAATCAAACCCTGGTCTTCGGCGTGATGAGCGAACGCTTTAACCACTAGGCTACCCGACCGCCCCGAACATGTAGTGAAGTGAAATGGGGTTTAACATCTTGTTCAAGATTATTGCACTTATAACATTAACATGGATACCCCCATTCAGACAAAGTATACTGACTCCGAGCCAAGCACTCCTTGTTTTGGCCCCTTTAATGCCGAGAATCAGGCAGGGAAATCTTTTACCAGTACTATTTATTGGTAAGATGTGGCCGTGGATCAAGCTACTGTCCTTTCGCTCTCCAGGCAGCCACTCGATCTACTAGACCACGAACGTGGTCTAGGTGGAACATGCCTACATTGTAGAGTCCAAATTGGGGACAGATATGATTAACAGTTAAAAATAAAAATAAAAATTCAAAATATAACAAAAAAATTAAATCAATAATAATAATATCAACGACAACAGCATTAATTTTGTGGTGAATGAGTACAGGTAGACCAACATATAGTCTATGAAAAATATTTTATTACACAAAACTTTCTTTAAAAACAAATCAAATCAAATCAAATGATGATTGAAACAATATGGAAAAGACAACCTAGACTAGCTATTATAGAATATTATCATCTAGACTGGTGTTGATAGGATTAAATGCAGTCATTCCCAAGTCATGGCACAAGACTACAATCGAAGGTATTCATTCATGGAAACACACTAGATGAGCTTGGATTGCAAGCTAGTCATCCTCCCAAATACTACTCCACCAGGGACAGAGATTTAGCAAAGAGATGTTCAGGTGTGCTTCTTGGAATTTAAGTGTGCTAGGTGGAATTTATACATGCTTCATCATCAAACTTGGTGATTGTCACTAAGCCTTGCCAATAAGCAGTTGTACCGGGTAATTTTGAAAGTCTGCCCTTTTCCTTTTCCATGAGACTGATAATACCCTTTTTCATTTCTGAACACCCCTATCTATTCTGTGACTGAGTGAGTGAGTATGGTTTTACGCCGCTTTTAGCAATATTCCAGCAATATCACGGCGGGGGACACCAGAAATGGGCTTCACAGATTGTACCCATGTCGGGAATCGAACCCGGGTCTTCGGCGTGACGAGCGAACGCTTTACCGTCAGGCTACCTGACCGCCCCCTGTCTATTCTGTGAATCATACCATGCATCAAGTGATTTCACATGTTCATAATTGTCTGTGTTGGTCATGTTCAAATATGGTTAATATAAGGAATATTGCAAGGTATTTTTACTGAAATAAATTTATCTGAAGAGTGCCCTTCAGGTACTGATAATATATTTGAACCATGCCATTTCGATTTTAACTGTGACATTGGCAACCAAATATTAAGGAATTTCAAACCCTGTCAACTATCAACTTTCACCATCAGACTTGGGATATGGTTGATTCTCAAGACATTGATGGAATAGAGAGTTCTGTTTTAGCTGATCCAAGCATTAAGACTGTAAGGTAAGGATTACAAAAAGTGCTATATTCTGTATGGTGTTGCTATCCAGGAATGATCTCTATCACTAATATTACTCCTGACAAACCTGAAATACTCCACACACGATCCTACACCAGACAGTCCCTGATGTTGCACTTACCGATGACATCACAGAACTCGGCCAGGGATTCACATGGTAGCATCTCCCCTTCGTAGAGACGAATGATCTTGTCGCAACCCTCCAGCACTGGCTTGTCATTGTTGCGGATGTACTCCGCCAGGGAGTTGCTCCAGGAGTTGTCGGGGTTGATGGTCACCTTCTGAAATAGAGGATGTGATTTCGTCAGTGAGTTTTGTCTTGCGCCGCTTTTAGCAAAATTCCAGCAATATCAAGACGGGGGGGACACTAGAAATGGACTTCACAGAGTGTACCCTGGGGTACCCATGTTGAGAATTGAACTCGGGTCTTCGACATGACGAGCGAACGCTTAACCACAAGGCTACCCAACCGCCCCGGGAGTGGGTTCAACAGTAATTCAGTCATATCACGGCTTGTGATCTTGAGTGGGTGAGTAAGTTGGGTTCAGCGCCACTTTGAACAGTATACCAGTCATATCACGGCGAGTCAGCTCCATTTGGGAGTAAACAATGAAGTGATGCAGTTCTCATACATTTAACACTTTGGTGAAAGCTGCAAGTACTGGTATGGAGCAGACAAACCTAGAAACATACCGTATTTTGGAAAAAAATAAATCGAATATCAAGCGCAGAAAAAATTTACACTGTAGATCTACCCCTTCAGTGAATTCCGGTAAATGAACGGGTGATGAGAAACTTGGTCAGTACACATTCGAAATTTGAGATAAAAAATCAACAGACATGTTGATTTACCGTTTAAATTGTATTTTTTGTTCTGCTAGGCATTGTTTTACATCCAGGGATTCAGATTACCTTGTGTATGTTCTCGTAAACTAAGCTGGACACAGCAATCAGCTGTACACATGTTTTCTTTGAATCTACCGGTGTTTCGGTCAAGACACACCGAATGATATAACTTTACAGGATTTTAATGCAAGGATCGGCAAAAATTTTATCTGAATTTTTTTTCTGGTAATACGGTAATTAGGGGAACAAGGATTTGAAAACACAACAGGGAGTTCAAGATGATTAAGAAACAAGAGACATCAGGAAATGACATAACCCCTAGGCCTGGTGCAATTTGGAAATGGAGTTTGGCTACTTTACCCACTTTTGGTCCACTTCAATTGGGTACCTTCAGTTCAGTGAAGAAAGAAATAATTTTTCAAAATCCCAATCATCAAAAGGCACCAGTTGACCACTAGACTGATATGCAGAGCAAGTTTCATCCAGAAATAGTCAACGTTTTTTTAGTTTTGCTCCAGAAATGAAATCCAACCCCTTTTGAGACTAAGTCCAAATTAAATACAATGTATACCGAGATAAAAAATGTCAAAAATAGCAAAGGGCATCACTTCAGGATCTGTTTGATATATCTGCCACTTTTTTTGTAAAATCATACTGAACAGTTTTTGAGTTTTGCTCAGGAAATGAAATGATTACGGACGGATGGACAGACGAGGCGTTGACTATATCCCCCGCATTGTATGCCGAGGGGATAATAATAGGTAATAATGAAATTATCACACTTGCATGTGTGTCATACTGATTTTAGGAAACTCTTGTAAGATTCCATGTATTACACTCGCTCTTGCTCAGAAAATACAAGAATCCTCGTAAAATAAGGTCTATATCTTCATTTGAGTGGATGCCACAGAACTGATCTTCACATATTGGATTCAAAAAGAAAATAATAAATTAATGGATGATGCAGAAATGATTTTCATTGCAATCAGTGCAATGAAACCGATCTTCATTTAATGAGAGTCATTGAACTCATGTTCACATCACGGATGCAGAACCACGGAGGTTCATTTACAGCATGACTGAGTTCTGATGTTTATATAACTGACGCCATAGATGTTCCCTTCTTACAATGGATACAAGGGAACTGATTTTTATACAATGGATATTGTACGTTTCTTTTTTATACAATGTATGACAAATACCACAACAGACCTTCCAACAATGATGCAAATAATTCAATGATATTAATACCATGTGTGTCATACATTCATCTTGCACAAAGGAAGCAACACAAGTGTTTCCCAAAACCCATGCCACATTAAATAGCTGTATATTGAATTTCAAGCAGCTGTTCTACCTAGCTATGATTTCATTATGTCTTCCAACCCCCTAGAATTCAACATGAAAACAAGAATCAATGTTCCACAGTCTGCATGCACTTGCTGAAATAATTTGTAACTGAGTTTCACGCCGCTTTGAACAATATTCCAGTTATATCACAGTGTGTCAGCTTGAGGTGGGAGGAAAGCCCAAAGTGATGCAGGTCTCTGATGTTTACCACTTCGGTGAAACCCACGAGCACGGGTATGGTGCTGACAAACCTAGAAACATAATCGAACCGGGATTCGAACCCACGATCATAGGTTTCTGGTGTGCCTAAGGGACGCAACACTGCACAGCGAATCGCGGCGCCTTAGATGCCTGGGCCACCTGGGCCACCCATGCCCCCCTGCAGGTCTCAGACGTTTACCACTTCGATGAAACCCACCAGCACAGGTATGGTGCTGACAAGCCTAGAAACATAATCGGGGCGAACCAGGATTCAAATCCATGATCTATAGTTTCTATCACGACTAAGGGACAGAAATCTACACATAAATGGTGACGCCTTAGGTGACTGCGCCACCTGCGTCCTAAGAATATGAAAACAACTAACAAGGAAGCTAAGTAGCAAATAAATGCTATGGCTGATTGTTTGGTTAATTAAACCTTGAGAGAAATACATACAAACCTTAAATCAATTGAAACAATTTCCAAATTTATCTTTTTAACTATAGAAAGCTTTACACTTTGCCTTAATTCCATACTGATGTCATGATGTAGTGGTTTACCTAGACCTGCTCAGGGGCCCATACTTGGCCCCAAATGTCAAAACAAAGTTCTTAGTTAGGAACTAAAATTAATGATACAATGTATTTGTACAAATAACTAATAACTAATTTTATAGCTTTGTACAAGTAACCCGCATGCACTTATAGCAAGACCAATAAATACGAACAGGTTTTAATGCTTTGTATTATACTATTGCATTAAATGCCATGTCAAAATATCTCTGAATTTAAGAAAATATGAACTTTTATAATTCCAATTTTGAACAAAATAATGATTTTTCCCAATTTGACATGCATCAACCAAGTCAGCGAGCCTGACCACCCGATCCTGTTAGTCGCCTCTTACAAGCATAGTCGCCTTTCACATCAAGCATGGGTTACTGAAGACCTATTCTAGCCCGGATTTTCACGGGTCACATCTATATTTTTAGGGAACTTTATAACATACATATAAAACTAAACTGTGCTAAAGCTAAGGTTACTTCCATAACAAGAACAAATTAGTTCGGGTATTAGAAAAGTTGCTTATCTTTAAATCACATTAAAAAAAATAGACAAATAATTTTGCGAATATTGTTGCAGAAAACAGAAAGAGTTTCATTACAGATAAAGTAAAGCTTATTGGAGACTATCAATCATGACGTTAATGACAAACTTCTTTCTGTTTCTCTCATTGCAGAACATATCCCATCTCCGACAGAGGTCTGACTGCATGAGATTAACCCAACACGGTAGTGAATGCGTAGGTGTGACAATGACGGCCGTACTCCACCAAGTGTTCATCATAACTCAGTTGTCATACGACACAAATATGACACACTGGACTTGGCCTATCAATCTACACAGTGTCGAATACACCAGAAGCCCAGAAAATCCCTCCACGACAATTGTAAGTACAAATCCACAACCCAGCCTTGCTAATGACCGGCAGGTGTGTACAGACAGAATGAACTGCCTGGGTTGGTCTGTACGCTAACACCGAGCGTGATTATAGAAGTATTACCTGATTAGTGTTCGGATAATCTGTCCCCTGTCCCCTGGAGCGCTTCACGGACAGATATTTGGGGGGGTTGAGCAGTGAACTCAGGTGAAAGGTATCCCCCCCGATCGGTCATCTAAATCCACTGACCGAGAGCCAGGGCAGGAAATGTGTGTCTTCTGCTGGAGATTAATGAGAGGTCACTGGTCTTACCACATGTTTTTATCTGATGTAGGCTTAACGGATTGACAGAAGCATTAAGGTTCTCTTCATCACTGGAGAGAAAACGAACTGAAGAGTTGGGTGTTGGTGAAATATGAACAGGAAACATTGTGATAAAGAAGTGTTCGAAATCTCATCTTGTCATAATGTTATTTAAAAATATTTTGACAGATTATTACTGTATTTCGACGCTCTCAAAATTAGAAATAGGGGGCTCTTATTAGAATTTAATTTTGGTGAAAAAACCCAGAAAGATCGTTAATTTCTAGGTTTATGTACCTGATATGATACAAAAGAAAAGTGCGTATTATACACGACAGATATATTTTTCCAGAAGTTAATTGCCCATAATTAAGGGTGCATATATTATACATGAATAAATGTCTTTTGTACATTGATCAATCAGAAGAGGTGCTAATTGGGATTGTTCACTAGCCAATATATTTGCAAATATCACTGTGGGTGCTTATAAGAGCGATGCGCTTATTACGTCGAATACGGTAAGTTGAAAGCAGAACAAATGAGACTGTTGGATTTGGTTTCAACTTTCAGGATTTTTCTGACTTAGGATTAATTGCACATACCCCAGTTTGGGAGAATGAATATAATACTGACAGGCTTTGTTCAACTTCAAATTTCATAAAGATTTTACCTGAAATATTTTGCAAATTGATTTATTCATAAGTTGGTAGGTGGATGAGTGGGTGGGTGAATGGTTGGATGGGTGAGTAGGTGAGTGGTTGAGTAGTCAGGTGAGTAGGTCTATGAGTGATGAGGTGATGGGTGGATGGATGAGTGGGTGAGTGGGTGAGTGGGTAGAAGGGTGGGCGAGTGAATGGATGGATGCATGTTTGGATTGATGAAGAGGATGTGTGCAGGGGTGAGTGGGTGAGTGGATGAGTGGGGAGTTGGTGAGTGGGTGAGTGAGTTAGTGAGTAGGTGAGTGGGTAGAAGGGTGAGTGTGTGAATGGATAGATGCATGTTTGGATTGATGAAGAGGATGCGTGCAGGGGTGAGTGGGTGATTGGGTGAGTGGGTGAGTTGGTGAGTGAGTGGGTAGAAGGGTGAGCGAGTGAATGGATGGATGCATGTTTGGATTGATGAAGAGGATGTGTGCAGGGGT